GGGTCGCTGGGTTATGACGCTGTATGTGGAGGTGGGGTCAGAGCAGGAAAATGCAGAGGGAAAGGTCTGAGTCCCTGAATCAAAGCCCTGGGAGGGGCCGGGAGACCTTGGGTGCAGATGCAGGAGAGTGAAGTGAAGGTGGGAACTTGCGGAAGTGCCTACTCAGTTGCCTTTTATTTTCTTAGTGATTTCGAGAAGCAAAGTCAAAGGCTGAAAACGGGAATGGGGATTTGAGGTTTGCAGTGATGGGAAAAGGCATGAAAAAATCATCTAGAAGGATGGAACAGTGCATGGACTAACAATTGGAGCTGCTCAAGGCTCAAGGTCGACTTTACAGGAACCCAGTTGGTGTGGCTATGTTTTTTGTCCCTTTAAGCTCTCAGGGTGCAGGTGCAGAGCACCTTGGTTTTAACTGAGAAATGTGTGGTTTAGCCAAGAGAGTGGGACAAAGTGAGAAGAGGCCAGGGGGTTGGCCCAGAGGGAGCGGTAATAACAATGGACCAGAACGCTGAGCCTCTGGTCACTCACTGTCTCTCCCTCTCCTCCATGCCGCATGCTGGCTTGGAGAAAGGGATGCTCCAGAGGGAGATTTCGGAGAGGAAGCCCTCCACTCCCCTTCTTGGGTTTTTCTGGCTGGACTGATAATGTGGACACAAAAGCAGGCGAACAGAACAAACAAATAACGTGTGCACACGGGAGGTCATAGGTGATGCTCCCTGAACCAGCCAACTTGTTATACTTACCAGGCAAAGACACAATGCACTTCTGAAGAATCAACAGGGCACTGGGGTACCCCTTAGTGAGGAATCTGACGAAGTTTGGGCTTAGGTAGAAATTAGTTTCCGTCACCACCTTGAGCCTGGATCCCTTCACTGTACTCGTAAGGGCGCCTCCCTCTGCCTCTAGGTGCGGGTGGGCAGCTTTCATGTGGCACATTTACCTGCTGCTTTCCAGGGGACAGACAGGTCAGAGTGTTCTTGCGTGGCCAGTTTTAAAGTGACTTTACCTCTAAGTGATGTCACAATGGGCTATCGTGGGGCAGCCTCCCCCGGGCCTCAATGGTAGTGACAATGAGGTCTGGGGCCTGTGGCGAGGCCATGGGGGTGACTGCTGAAGTGGGATGGAGAACAAGCTCATGGGGCGCAAGAAAATCAAGGAACTGGGGGAACAGGACGTGGGAAGGGTCAGAAATGTAGGTGCTCTGGATGTTGCTGATGCGGTCACAGGGTATCGCTTAACAAGCTCCTCCTCTGGTTTTTGTGCTTTCTGTAAACTGGTTGTGATAAAGACTTGTTCAGATTAAAGTTTGATTTTTAGGAGGGGAGGGGGTAAGATAACACCATAGATATTCCTTTTAAATTTTGAATCCTGTGACTATATCAACTATTAAAATAAATAAACAAGCCCTGGCTGGCATAGCTCAGTGGATTGAGCGTGGGCTGTGAACCAAAAGGTAGCAGGTTTGATTCCCAGTCAGGGCACAAGCCTGGGTTGTGGACCAGGTCTCTAGTGGGGGCCACATGAGAGGCAATCACACATTGATATTTCTCTCTCTCTCTTTCTCCCTCCTTTCCCCCTCTCGAAATAAATAAAACTATTTTAAAAATTAAATAAATAAAAAATAAACAAACATAAAATTTTAAAACACAAAAAAGTAACGAAACTTCAATTGGAGAGAGGACAGACAGGAGCTAAATACTCCAGAACGAAGCACCCGAGGCTGGGAGTGGGGCTGAAACAGGAGCGGTGGTCCGTGGTGTCGATGTGGGAAGCTTTGGAAAACCTTTGTTCACCCAAACCCCAGGCGCCCTGGGAGAGCGATAAGGCCGTCTGGGAAAAGCAAACAGCAGGATAGTCACAAGGACTGGGGCTAGCACCCCCACTGATAGGACTAATTTTCACATTTAGCTTTTGTACTCTGCTTCTGCCCCGTAGATAGAACTAATTACCGCATTCTGCTTCTGTATCCCGCTTTGCCACGTAGACAGGAAGACCCCGTAGGTTATATAAACCCCAAGAATCCTTTGTTCGGGGCTCAGAATTTGGAGATTGACTCCTCTGGACCCGTACACGTTAATAAACCTTGTACTCCAGAATCCCTCGGTGTCTGGTTGCTTCATTTTCCTATAACAATAACACGAGATTAAAAGCTGCAGGCATTTTACAGGAGAAGGAAGGAGAATGTTCTGGAAGAGAGGGAGGATACTACCCCATGCCCAGGTCTGGTGGACGGGAGAGAGTGTATGGTCTTGACCTGATGGATCTTCAAGGAAAGTCCACTGTGGCCCATGACAAATTACTTCCTTTCTCCGACTCTCTTGATCACGGAGATGGGAATAATAGTCCCTACCCTAAAGGTGCCTGTGTGAATTAAGTGAGACCAGGCAGTAATGCACTCAGCAGTGACCGGTGGCATGATAACTTCAATAAATGTTAACTTTTATGGCGTATGAACTTGAAGTGCACACACGCTCTCCTGTTAGCTTCCCCCTGGTTTGGCCGCACAGCAGAGCCACCTGGTCCCAGTTTTTAAAAAACACAAATGCATCGGTCCCGCCCCCAGGGATTCTGATGGATCTGGGCGGGCCAGGGCCGGGGTGTTTTTATAAGCCCCGAGGTGGCTCTAATGTGCAGTGAAGGCTGAGTGTTATTGGTTCTCAAAGTGCTCAGCCCTGAAACAGGGACATTAGCATCACCCAGGGATTAGGTAAAAATGCCCAATTTCCCTGGTCGCCTGAATCAGAAACTTGGGTGAATCAGCAGTCCGTGTTTTAACAAGCTCTCCCGGTGATTCTAATGAACACTCAAGTTGCATAAGTACTGATCGAGGGGCAGCAGTGCCAGGTGGTCATTTCAGCTGTCCGGGGCTCCCACGAGAACCAATAGGCATCTCGGGTGCTCGAGCCCAGCCCCCGCCCCTCCACGGGCTCCAGCCTGCTGCACGTGCTCTTCCTCTCTCTCTCTCTCTCTTTCCCTTTCTTTTGTTTTCCCTTCAGGGGAGATTGGTGAGATTTAGGATTATTTCTTTTTCTTTCGGATTACTTAATTTTGTTTTGTGTTCTGTTGTCTTTGTCCTGTTCCATTCTCCCAACAAAATGGAGGTGCCAGATACTGGTTAAATAGAACTGAACTGGGTCAGCTCCTGACCCTGTGGGGATGCCCAGTTGTGGTGCTGTGATTAATGATAAGTATATATATTTGGTCTTCCTCCTCAGTCAGACACACAAACGAAACCCTTGAAATTTCTGAGACGAAAGCGGTAAAGGTGCCTTTTGTTATGTTAGTGATGACTTTTGAAAACCACCTGAAGGTGGGGGCTGATTGCCAGGAGGAGCAACCTGGATGAGAGACCTGACCTTTCAGTCCCACCCCCTGACCTCCGGGGAGGGGAGAGGGGCTGGAGATTGACTTCACCAATGGCCAAAGATTTAACCCATCAAGCCTAATGACGCCTCCAGAAAAACCTGAGAGGACGGGTTTGGGAGGGCTTCCGGTCAGCGAGCCTGGGGAGGTTCAGCTAGTTTCCTGCGCAGAGGGCACGAAAGCTGTGTCCCTTCCAGCTGGCTGTTCCTGAGTTACATCCTTTCACAGTGAACCTGCGATCCCGTAAGTGCAATGCTCCTTTGAGTTGTGTGAGTCGCTCTAAATAAATTAATTGAGCGTAAGCAGGAGGTCACTGTTCCCTCTAACCTATAGTGGACAGTCGGAAGACCTGGGCTTGCCACTGGCATCTGAAGTGGGGACATGGGGTGGGACATCTCATGGACTGGAGCCTTCACCCTGTGATAGCTGATGCTACCTCTGGGAAAATAGTGACAAATTGAGTTGAATTGTCAAAATCCACTGGGCACGGGAAAATTACTTGGTGTGGGAAGAAAGGCACTGTCCCGTCCCCCCACCCCCCACCAGGGACATTGGAATTAGAGTCAAGAATTTTATCAGGATTAAAAAAAAGTGGCTCACTGGGCCCCTCTGTGATGACCCAACTGAAGGGTGGTTTTTTGACCCTCATTTTGCCTGTTTCACACCCTCGTCCTTCCACACTCTTGATTTTTGTGCTCCGCTCCTGTAGGAACCTGTTCTTGGGTTCGGATCCTAGTTCAGTCACTTGTAATTTAGTCCAAGTCATGTCTGCTGACCAGACTGGATGCGCCCAAGGAAAGGGACTGTGTCTCCATTGCTTTGTGTCCACATGCTTCCCCAAGTTCAGATGCCTGCAGTAACGTGCCACTGGCCTTTCTGAGTGGCACCAGGGTAACCTTGGGCAAGTCATGGCCCTTTTTGGCACCTCAGTTTTCTTATGTATAAAATGGGCTTCATGATTTTTTTTAATTTTAAAATTGTTTACTGTAATTCTTCATAAATATTTTATTTATTTTTTTTTAGAGGGGGAAGGGAGGGAGAAGGAGAGGGAGAGAAATATCTATGTGTGGTTGCCTCTCACACGCCCCCAACTGGAGACCTGGCCTATAACCCAGGCAAGTGCCTTTGTTGCAGGAAAACGAAGCAACCAGACACCGAGGGTTTCTGGAGTACGAGGTTTTATTAACATGCAGGGGCCCAGAGGAGTCAGTATCCAAATTCTGAGCCCCAAACAAAGGATTCTTGGGGTTTTTATAGTTTACAGGGTCTTCCTGTCTACGTAGCAAAGCGGGATACAGAAGCAGAATGCGGAAGTTAGTTCTAGCTATGGGGCAGAAGCAGAGGACAAAGGCTAAATTCGAAGGTCAGTTTTTAACAGCAGGGGTGTTCATCTCAGTCCTAGCTAATGCACTGTTGTTTACTTATCCCAGACAGCCCCATCATTCTCCCTAGGGCGCCTGGGGCCTGGGCAAATAAAGGTTAAACAGAGGTTCTTCAAAGTTTCCCATATCACCTTGGCCAGGAATTGAACCAGTGACCTTTTTTTGTTCACAGGCTGGTGCTAAATCCACTGAGCCACACCAACCAGGGCTAATTTTTTTTTTTTTAATGGAAAGAAACAAGTACAAGCCATTACAGAAAACATGAGACGCTTCACAAATTTGCGTGTCATCCTTGAACAGGGCCCATGCTTGATCGTGTCCGGTCATTCTGATGTTAGTCTTTGTGCTGTCAAAACGAGCACTGGGCTTGATGACATTGAACCTCACACTGCTGGGAAGACTGTATAAGACAATGCACGGCAACGGCTTAGGTCAGCACCCTCCCTGCAATATAGCGAGCTCTCAGTGAATGGCACCTGTGAGTGATTGCTGTTAAACTCCTTTCCATGCTATGGAAGGGTAGGTTTTATCCCCTGGGCTGTAGGGAAGCTTTTGGGCCCAGTCGGTTTCCCCCCGAAGTGCAGCGTCCCTTCCGACAGGGACACCTCCTGCAGAGACACCCTGCCCCGGCTCTTCCAATTTCCCACGGTCTCACCCATGTTGCCTGGAGCCCTTCCTAAATCTTCTCTTCAGGAAGTTTAATACCTTGCAAAAGTCTCAGCCTGTTTTAATTGAATTATTTCCTTCAATGTCAGGTTTAAAGCGCACTGACAGGCTCTCAGCTCTGACTGAAGGCATTAAAAAAGTCAAACAGTGCACACCATGGCCTAATCCTTGAGGGAGATAGAAGCGGAATCCCCTCTGCAGCCCTTTCATTTTCTTATGTTAGTTAATAAACATACTTATAACATCTGCTTTTTCTTTCCTCCCTGCATGCTCTTTAGTTGCCTTAGTAAGGAAGAGAATAAAACCCTGACTATAACAAGATGTTGGGGAAGAATTTACCATCTTGATTTTCAGGGCTGGAAGGGATTTTTGACATTACCTGATCTAACCTGCGTAATTTACCTGGCATGGAGCAGGGGTTTAGAGTAGGAGATGGCTTGGCCAAGGTCACAGAACTTAACCTCCAATGAAAGCAGCTTCAAAAAGATGTGTCCTTTGTCCTGGACAAGGTTTGGGACATCCAAGCGAGTGGGCCAGGGTGGTGGGTAAGGGTGGCACTCTGGCCTCAGCCTTCCAGGGGACGAATCTCAGTCCACCTCACATTGTCTGCCCCTGGGAAAGTCACTTAGTGTCGCTGGAACTTCAGGGCCCTTACCCCAAGTTAGGGATGGTCATAGCACCTAGTCAGAGTGCCATTGAGCAGACTATAGTTGACCGAAAAGCTCAGCACTGCCCCGGGCACATATTAAGTGCTCAATAAATTTTAGCTATTACAGGCACTGGAGAATTTTTTGAGAGGCTATTGTTTGGGATGGTAATGGGAAAGCCCTCAATGTGAGCATTTGTGGCCATGGTTGTGTGTTCCCCCCAAACAACTGAATTTCTGGACCTGTAGAAAGTCCCAGAGCTCCCTCATTTAAGGATAGACCTGTCTTCTAATGAGAGTAGAAGGGCAGGTGTCAAAGGTCAGTTCTATCAGAGAGCACTGAACACAATACTGTCTGAGCTGCAGAGTGCCAAATGCAAGTGAAGTTAAGTGCTTAGAAAATGTGGGAGCTCAGGGAAAGGGAGGTGCTAGTAACAACAATAAAACCAAAGCTACCAAGTATATTAACATCCATTATCTCATTTGATTCCCAAAATTATATGTAGTTATGTGTTCTGTGGATATTGTGTAGTGGGCCATCAAGAGCTCTCCTGGATAAATGAATGAACAGTGGATGGGCATTGTCTTCCCTTGAATGACGAGATAGGGACTCAGCCTTGGCTGTGTAACTAACCACCCTGAAGCGGGAAGCAACATGACTCGTTCTTCATGCTTTTCTAGGCTGGCCAGGTGCCTCTGCTGCTTTTGCCTGGACTCAAAATGCTGGATGTTGGCAGGTCAATTGGATTGGAAGGTAGGAGAAGGCCTCATTTGTCTATTTGGCCATTGATGTTAGATGTAGGCTATGCCTTGTTTGTCCCCACATGGCTTCTCCAGTAGGTTGGGTTAGCTCCTTACATGGTGGTCTTGGGGAAGCATTCCGAGATGCTGGAGGGAGAAGCCGTAAGGCTTTGGGACTTAAACAATGTTCTGTCTTCTATGTTCTATTAGTCAAAGCAGGTCACAAGAACAGCTGAGATGTAAAGGTTGGGGAAGCTCCTTTGTTGATGGCAGAAGCTGTAAAGAATTTGTAGCTACATTTAGTTTACTAGGAGATCAACAAATATAATCCTTTACTAGCATTTGGCCAAGGTCAAGTCTGGACCATACTTGAACTTGGATCCGTTGATTCCAAGGATTGTGACCTTTCTTCTATAGGAAGATCACTTTTGTTGCAAGAGTAAACTTAGTCCAGGATGAGGCAAAGGCTTTTCTATCCTTTGATGCTGTGGGACATGGGGCACGTGGTGAGTCTGTTAATAATGTCATAATCCTGTGACACTGTGATTTGGATGTAGTGTTGTTATGTATATATATATACATACATACATACATACATACATATACATACATACACGAAAATATTCATTGTTGTGGTTTTGTAACTCCATGTACTTGCTTTAAAATGCAAACCTAATGATAGTTTTCCCTTCCAGGAGAACCAATGTGCCCAGGTGCAGCTTAATTTAGGTTTCACCTGCTCAGCTGTTCACAGAATCCAGGCCTAGGAATGTAAGCCCTTTACAAATGCTAAGGTTTGAGTAGCAGTCGTATGGTCCCCACGCCTTTGGTTGAGGCTTGAGAAGATGAAACAAGAAAGACTGAAAGCCAAAAAAGAGGTTAAATTTTCAAGTTAACAGGGGCTCCTTTAAAACCTCAGAAAGACCAGAATAGTCTGTTGAATATAAAACCTGTAGGAGAATGTGCCTAAATAGCTTCCCAAACTGCAGGGATCTTTTCTGGGTAGCAGGAGAAGAAAGTGATTCAGAAAATGAGTTGCTGGTTTTCAGTGCTTGTGATGGCACTCTTTAGAACTTGACCGTGGCCTGGAAAAGTACTGAATGGCACTAAAAGTCGTTTCTTAGGGGAGAGTAATAAAGAATGAATATTTGGTCTCCCATTCTTGCCTGCTAAGGAGGAGGAGAATCGCTTCTCAACCCCAGGGCTCTGTAGTGTGGAGACCCCTAGGAAGTGTGAGGAGAGGGTGCTCTGCTGGAGAAAGGGCCTGAGGCCACCCAGGGCACCTTTGGGGACAAGGAGGTGCAAATGGCCAGGGAGGGCTTTTGGGAATTTTAGAATTGCTCTGTCATTGTGGTGTAATTAACTCCTTTTTTTTTGTGCATCTTCAAGATTCCTTTTCTAAAGACTTTGCTTCTCTTGGAGGCCTTAGTAGGAGGATTTGTGTTTGAGTGTGATATCACTCAGAGAAGCCACAACACAGGAGCTGGAAGACCTAGTTTTATTTGGGTTATGCCAGTTTTTTCCCAATCTTACATTTTCCAGGAGATTTTGACCTTTTCCACCATGAATCTTTTTCAGTTGCTGGGGGTTTGAACAATCTTACAGATTTATTTATTTATTTGTTTATTTATTTTGAATCCCTCGTCACACTGCGGATTGAAGTGAACCAACACAGCGTGCTACCACTTCACCCAAAACCTACCTTGCCCTTTCTTGACGACTCCATTCGTCAAGAGGCCCAATGTGTGTTTATAAAAGGCGTACAGATTTTAATTTTATTTTCTAATGAAGTTAATTTTGTTGTTATTAGGGCATTTCCCTAGCGGCGAGTCTATAAGGCCCATTCTAAGTGTCCCCTGGGACCATGGAGCATGTCACTGACCCAGGAGCAGGCTTTTTCCAGTCCCGGCGAGGGCTGCTCTGAGACGTGTGTCCACAGGCTGGCCTGCTTTCCCTGGCACAACTGTGCAAGTAATGTAGAAACCATGGTGGTGCCCCAGAGCCCCCCCGACATTGGAGCCAGCAGGCATTAAAGTCATGGCCGTTTGTATTGCTCGGAGCATCCGGATAGGTTCATTACTCATTATTACAGCCCATTACCATTGTGTTCATTGCCTCCTTTCTACCCTTTCATGTTCTTTTTGTGGCTGTGGGAGAGGGCAGCTGAGAAGAAGGCGATTTGGATTAGGATGAGACAGATTTTTCTGGAGCCAAAATAATAATGAGAGCATATATATCTATACATATGCGTATATATTCATGCACACAGAATAGGTTCACTGACCCTCTTGACAACCTGAGGACGTAGGAGTGTCTACATCTTGTAGAGGCTGAGAGACAGGAAACAAGATCATGTAACTAGTAGGTGGCGAAGCTAAAATTGGAACCCACATCTCTCGGCATCAGTCCTTAACCCCTGTGCTACAGCGTCCTTCCTGAATGACAGGATGTCTGGGTTCTAATCCAAGCTGGTTGCTCTTTCACAAGTCAGTTCTTCTGCCCAGATCTTAGTTTTTCACATGTAAAGGGAACCGTGGACCGGATCTCTAAAGTCCATTCCAGCTGTGTGAGTCTGTGATTCCAGTATTTGCAAACACTTTCTGTGTGCTGGCATGCTGGTCTTGGGATGGGAGGGAAGGCCTTCCTGCCTTCTAGGTGGGCAACGGGGTGGGTCAGACTCTAACAGGAGAGAGAAGCACAGGAGTGAGAAGATTGTAATGTACTAGGTGCATAACAAGCAGAGGTGATGCTCAAAATAGTTAACTTGTTTAGTAATATAGACCAAAATATAAAAATGAAACTCCTTTTAGTCTATATATTCCATATTTTTAAAAACTGTTTGGCAAATGATGTAAGTTGTAGTGCATATCATGGGTCAGATTATTCTAATTTTCAAATCACTTATTGAATTGCAGGATTTTTCCAGCTCTATTGAGATATAATTGCCATAAAACATTGTGTAAGTTGAAGATGTACAAGGTGTTGACTTGCTATCCTTCTCTATTGTGAAGGGATTCTCGTAATAACATTACCCAACACCTCCATCACATCATGTAATTACCATTTAAAAGTATTTTACTTTTAGAGAGAGGGGAAGGGGGGGACAGAGAGAGAAACAGCAAGTGTGAGAGATACATCCTTTGGTTGCCTCTCACATGCCACCAACCAGGGACCTGGCCTGCCACTCAGGCACGTCCCCTGACTGGGAATTGACCTGGAGACCATACGGTTCACAGGTCAGCACTCAATCCACTGAGCCACACCAGCCAGGGAACCATTTCTTTTTTGTGGTGAGAATATAAAAGATTT